GCCCGGCGGCCCGCGGGCCGCGCCGGCTGCGGATCAGGTGGAGGGTGGCGCTGGCTGCTGCGGGCTCAGCTCCACATCCCCTCCACCTCGCACCCCGCGCCTGTGCCCGGGCCCCCGACTCTCCGGCCTCCCTTCCTGGACTGGCCAGGACGCGGAGGCTGAGCTCTCCGCGGCCCCAGTGCCAATGCCCTGCCGGCTGCCCCGGGGCCCGGCTGCCGCGCTGCTCGCTGTCCTGTGCCTGGGGCTCCTGTCCCTCCGCCTCCACTCCAGGCTGTCCCCCCGGGGGGTGCAGGAGCACCCTGGGCTGAGCGCTCCGAGTCCCCAGCCCCGTGGGCTGCAGCTTCAGGACGTCTTCATCGCGGTCAAGACCACCCGGGCCTTCCACCGCTCGCGTCTGGACCTGCTACTGGACACGTGGGTCTCTAGGACCAAGCAACAGGTGACAAGCGCGCGACTTTGGGCCCTAGGAGTGGTCCCTGGTTGCAGGGCTCACAGAACTCTTTCTGCTGGGTTGGGGCCCCAGGCAGCCTCAGTCCAGGCTGCCCTCCCTTTGGTTCATCTCTCTTCTCCTCCCCTACCCGCACCTACACCCGCTGGATTCTGGGTGCTCCTCACATCCAGCCGCTCTTCTGTTGTGGGCAGCTTGGGTCCCTCGCCCAGGCTTCTGGTGGGCCTTCCGTGCTCTGGCTGCATCAGCAGGAGCTTTGCTTTGGAGGGGAGCTCAAGGAGAGGGGACCGGGAGGTTTGGCTGTGGTTGTGGCCTCCAGGCAGGGCACGCACCCAGCTCAGCCTGACCTTGGAGGCAGTGGTAGGTTTGGGTAGCTGGGGTAGAGGCCTCTGGGAGGTCTTGACCCTGACCTGTGCTGTCCCAAACTGGCCCAGGAGCTGCCTGGCTCTGGCTCTGGCTGAGTGTCGGAGCCCTTGCCTTACGCTGCCGCCGCCTGAGGTGCTCCTGGCTGGCATCTTGCCTCCTGCGCTGGTTTCCTGTGGCTGCTGCCCTGAGGGTGTGTGTGTGTGTGTGTGTGTGTGTGTGTGCCTGGGTGGGGGCCTGCATGGCAAATGTGTGTGCGTGCACGCGTGTGCACACTCCTGCATCCACATGTTCACATGCATGGAGCTTGAATGTGTGAGACATGCAATGGCAAGAGGCACGTGGGTGGCATGGGCGTGGGGCTCGTGCCTTGAGGGAAGGTGGCTCTGCCGAGCTGAATCTCCTTCAGCACCTCCCCACCCAGTACCCTCCTTAAGCAAAGCTGGGGGTACTGGGGAGCACCTCTGGGAAGGTGGAGGGTAGACACACACACACACACACACACACACACACACACACACACACACCATGTCCCCAGGGTGGCTGTGGCTCTAGGGAGGAAGTGACTGAGCCCTTGGAGGGGAGCTCAAGGAGAGGGGGCAGGGAGGTTTGGGTGAGGTTGAGACCCAGGCAGGGCATACCACGTGAGGCCACGCTCCTGGGTACACAGACACTGTTGCAGATGTCGGGCGCTCCTGAGATAAACCCTTTCTCAGCACCCCGCTCTCCCTGCGCCTCACACCGCTTCTCATCTTGGGGCGATCCTGGCTCTGTAGGCGGGCGGGCGGGCGGGCGGAAGCTGCCGGCACTGGCCCTCCCCACAGACCTTCCTGTTTATGGCACTGTGTCTGTGTACCCGGGAGCGTGGCCTCACGTGGTCTGAGGCTCTTTCCTGTCGTGTCTTGCTTCCCACCTGGGTGCCCTGGCTCCAGATGAGGGAGCTGAGGCCTGGCAGAAAGAAGTGCAGGCCTGCCCAGTGGGATGCAGCTGGGTCTCTCTCTCCTCTGCAGAGCCCGGGAGCCCAGAAGCCCAGAGCTGCCTGGGTCCTGCGGCTGCAGGGACGGCTCCTTGAGCAGCTCTTTGGGGCAGAGCCAGCAGCACCTGGGGGGCTGTGCCTGGCAGCACCAGGCTGGCACAAGAAGGCAACAGCGACTCCTGGGTTCCAAGCAGGAGGTGAATTCATTGTTCTGGACCCCAGAGTGAGGGCAGAGTCTGGAGACCCTGCCCGTTAAACTGAAGGAAGGAAAGACGGTCAGCCGGAGGAAGAAGCTGGGCCACAGGGCCCACTCTGGCCACCCAGCATCTTCTCCCTTTGGCCCATGTTTCTCTGTGACCTTGGCCCAGGCCCTCCGGCTTCCCTGTCTGCACAGTACGGGAGCTTCCGGAACGGGCCCGAGCTGGTTAACCGCAGTGCGGGGCCCCGGCTGGTTAAAGGTGGTGGGGTGGCAGGTGGGCCTTTATGGCAGCAGGCTGGGACTCGTGTGCCGCCTTTGTCCAGGCAGGGCTGAGGGGGAGGCGTGTCTTGTGTGTTTTGTGCTGGAGAAAGGCCTTTCTCTTCCTCCTGTCCCCTCGTGGTGGCAGGGGCGGGTGGCAGCGGCAGGGGCAGGGGGGCATCTCGCCTCTTCTGCAGCAGATGGTCCCCAGCCACCTCCTCCCCAGCCCGGCAGGCTGCTGATGCCTTTGTTTTCCAGCCTGTGAAGTTTTAACCATTGTCAGAGTCCCCTCCTTAAACAAATCAAGGGCAGCCCTCGGCTTAGGAAACTCTGCCCATCACTCTGCGCCAGGCCCTGTGTTCCCAGGGAGCAGGGCTCGAGCAGCCTGACTTCTGTGACCAGCTCCCTTGAGGACTGTGCTGAAAACGGACTTGGGTGGAGGCAAGAGGCCAGGCTGGGGCAGGAGCGGGGCTGGCCTTGGGGTCAGCGGGCAGTGACCAAGCGGAGATGTTTGAGGGTGGGTGGGTGCACAGACTGCAGGTGAGGGAAAGCGACCCGGGGACTGTAAGGCTCTGGGTTCCGGAAGGGGAGAAGGCTGAGCTGGTAAGGAGGAAGCGCAGCCTCACTCTTGTTCAGTTTTTCTTTCCCCTGTTGGGCATGGGACCCAGGGCTTTGAGTATGCTAAGCATGTGCTCTACCACTGAGCCGCACCTCTGGCCCTTTTAAAAATTTAAAGACAAATTTTCGTTTTGATTTTTTTTTTTTTTTTTTTTTTTGAAACAGGGTCCCACTGTATAGTTCAATATGATCTTGAACTCACTGTGTAGCCCAGGCTGGCCTCAAAATTGTAGTGATCCTCGGAAAAAAAAAAAAAAAAGCCAGGCATGGTGGTGCGTGCCTGTAATCCCAGCACTTGGGAGGCTGAGGCAGGAGGATCATTGCTAGACCAAAAAAAGAAGACCAAAAAAAAAAAAAAAAAAAATTTGCATCAATGCTCTTGCCTCAGCGTCCTGAGTGTTGGGATTACAGGGAGGGGTCAGTGTTGTGGTGAAGTCCTCCAGGGAGAAGTCCCAGCTGTTGGAAATTTGACAGCTGGAGGCTCAGGCAATGCCAGCCCTGAAGGTGCAGATGGTAGAGGTCCCAGCCTCCTGGTGATGGCACCGCCGGGTATGATGGAGAGGACCTGGGCTTGGACTTGGGTCACTCACACTCTCCCTGTGGGAATCGGAGACTCGGCTTGGCTAAGTCTAAGGTGAAGGTGGGAGGCGGACTCCAGGGCGAAGGGCGCAGAGGTGGCTACTGCCCCGGGTTCCCTGGGAGGTCACAGGTGCTTGGACAAGGAGACAAATTAGGCCAGGCTGGTGGTCTCCAGGATGCTATCTTCCAGTGGGTGGGACCAAGAGATAAATTTCCAACACTGAGAAGTTGGAGTTGCCATAGAAAGGTGGGGTGGGGGCTAGGGGAGGGACCCCTAGAGAAGCCGGAGGATGTCAAGGAAGGCTTCTTGGGAGAGGTGACACCTGGATTGGGAACTTGAGGGTGGGAAGAAGGCACAGCATGTGCAGAGGCTCAGAGGGTGTGTGTGTGTGTGTGTGTGTGTGTGTGTGTGTGTGTGTAAGATGTTTAGAGAGTGGAAAGAAATTTGGGCAAAGAGAAGTCCCAGGGGCAGGAGAGGAAGTGCCGAGATCAGACTGCATCAGAAGCTAGGTGTGGTGTGCGTGCCTGTAATCCCAGCATTCCGGAGGCTGAGGCAGGAGGATTGTTGTGAGTTCAAGGCCAGCCTGGGCTACAAAGTGAGCTCAAGACCAGCCTGAACTACATAGTAAGACTCTGTCTCAAAAAAAAAAAAAAAAAAAAAAAAAAAAAAGACTGCGTCAGGTGGCAGAGTGGCCTTTATGCCAGGGGAAGTAGGGAGCCATGGAAGGTGTTAGCGGGGTGGGTATGGGCATTATCTGATTCTGGTCCTGGGAGGAAAACAGTTGTAAGGAAGCGAAGCCATCTTGCATCAATCTACTGAGAGATGATCAGACTCAGGAGCAGGTCTGTGGCCTTGGGCCTTGGGATACGGGCCTGGTTTGCTCCTGCCTCTTCCTGTGCCCAGGCCTGGCTTCTGTCCTTCAGTGCCTCAGGTTCTCCTGAGATAAAAGGAGCAGAGCCTGGCTTCACCGTGCATACTTCCTCCTTCTTGTGCACACAGTCTCACTCTATTCTCACATCTGTTGCGGTCCTCTGTGTTACAGATGGCTTAGCCAGGCAGGGCTGCTGTGATCTGCAGGACCAGTTTCTAGAAGAGGTCTGTGGGTGGGCAGGGAGGAGCATTTGCATCCAGAGGCCCTGAGCCTGGAGGGAGGACAGGGTAAGGAGTAGGAGATCGGGAGTGTAGGGCTTTCAATGTTTCTTCCTGGGACTTTTTCTCCTTTTTCCTCACTAGGAGTTCAGAACTGTGCCAGGGCTGGGCAGGGCAGCGCCAGGGTTGGGGAGGCCTGGAAGGTGCTCAGGGAGTGAAGGGAGCTGCCAGGGAGCTGAGAGGCTCTGCAGGCGTTGGGTGTGGCAGTTCCTGCTGGACAGGTGTCCTTGCGCTTGGGATGCTTCTGGCGGGGTTCTCTCTGCCTCTCATTCCGCGCCTGCATTTGGTTTATTTATGGCTGAGTAGCTTCAGCCCACCTGGAGGTGACAAGCATAAACCCAAGGTTTGTGGGTTGGAATCCCATTCATGGTTCTTTGCTTAGCCTGTTTTGTCCTTTGGGAAGGGGACAGATCCTGACACCTGCCTCCTAAGGTCAGGAAAGGGGAGCAGACATGGGTTATGGTCCTGGTAGGAGCCTGTCCAATGGGGAGGGCCAGATCAGGCCATGGCACACAATGCCTGCATTTGCATAGGGGTTCGTGGCTGTGAGTGTTACTGTCCCCTAAATGGTTTGGGACCTGGGAGTGTGTGTGAGGGGTCCTTTCACAATCTGGGTCCTGAGAGAGTTTAGGATTGCATTTATGTGGCCACAGATCGGCCACGTGTGACTGCGACATGTGTGTGACAGAAGAGGGTGTGATTCGGCCAGGGTGTGTGGCTCTGTAAAGGGGATGAATGTATGTGAGGCTTCAAAAGCTGCGTGTGTGTCAGTGTATATGTGTGTGTGTATGTATCTGTGTATGTGTGTGTGCGTGTGCACGTGCATGGATGTCATCTGAAAGGAGCAAATGACCATGGGTGTGTGTCTGGCCCTGGAGGAGGACAGCAAGCTGCTGTGCATGGACCCACCTGGGCAGGTGGGCTGTGCATGGCCTGGGGCTGCCCTTGAAGACCTGACCCTGACCCCGCTTCTCCTTCCCAGACTTTCGTCTTCACTGACAGCGGGGACAAAGGCCTCCAGGAGAGACTGGGTAACTCCGCCCACCTGGGGTTCCCAGGGATTAAGGCTTGGCTGGTGCCAGGGAAACCCGGGTGGCTGTGCTGTGACCTGGGGCTTCCCAGGAATCGGACTGCTCCTCTGACACTGGGGATCCCCTTTGCCCAGGGGGGCTGCTGGTGGGGGGAGGGGCTGTTTCAGGAGGCCCTGGACACCTGGGTTCCAGTGTAAACCAGGAGGCAGCCCCTCCCCGCTCTGTGGCAGCGGAGGAGCTGGGCGGGGTCCCCTGACTCCTCACTTCTCCAGGGTCCCACCTTGTGGTCACCAACTGCTCTGCAGAGCACAGCCACCTGGCTCTGTCCTGCAAGATGGCCGCTGAGTTTGACGCCTTCCTGGCCAGCGCGCTCTGGTGCGTGATCCTGGGTCTCTTGGGAAGGGTGGTCTCTGCTCAGCTGGAGTCCTCATCTACTGAGGCGCGCCTCCCTCACAGAGCTTGCGCAGGGTGGTGCCCAGCACAGAACTGGAGCCTGAAAGGGTAGCTGGCCACCCTCCAGAACTGTCTGTTGACTGACTGTAAGGGGCCCCTTACGTTCACTGTCCCGCTTCAATCACCATAGGTGGTTCTGCCACGTGGACGACGACAACTACGTGAACTCCAGGGCGCTGCTACAGCTGCTGGAAGCCTTGCCACAGGACCGCGACGTCTACGTGGGCAAACCCAGTCTGAACCGGCCGATCCACACCTCCGAGCCCCGGCCGCACAACCGCACGGTGGGGTGGGCCGGTCCTTCCCTTCCTCCTTTGCCCATTGGCCGCCGGCCCTGGGGGGTGGGGCGTGGGGCGGGTCTCGGGAGGGCGGGTGGTGGGGAGGAGGAGTGGGTTCAGGATTTCAGATTTGGTCCTGCCACTGTGGGCTTAGGCTGGTGGCTTTGTGGTTTTGAGCCTCTGTCTTGTCTGTGAAATGGGGAGACTGAAATAATGCAGGTGAGTCCTTGTCACCCAAGAGCAGTGTTTTTTTTTTCCGGTACCGGGAATCGAACTCATGACCTCGAGCTTGCCAGGAAGGCTCTGTGCCGCTGAGCTAAATCCCCAGCCCCCAAGAGCAGTGGTTTGGAGGGGGTCACACAAGTGCCTGGAGGCTTTCTGACTGCAAGGCGGGGCTCCTGGCCATCTGGCGGCCCAGGGTACTTGTGCAGATTGTTAAAATCCTGGAATGGGGCTGGAGCAGGTAAATCGCTGCTCCTCCGTGCCCCAAAACAGTCCTCTCTCTTGGACACCCCTCCTGGATCTTCCTTTAATCAGCAACTGAGCGTGGACCCCTGGCTCAATAGGAGGCCCTGGAACCACCCTCAGCTCCATACCTGATGGACACTGATGAGAACTGCCAGATTCAGAAACCAACAAAAAGCCAGAGACCCAGTTACATTTGAGTTTTAGATAAACAGGGAAGGATTTCTTAGTATACACGTGTCCCCAAAGCTGTGTGATTCTCCCCCGTCCCCGGGTCCCACTGGGCTTCAGGAGGTGGGTGACCCCAAGCGCTTGGGCTCCCTGCACCCCAGGGAAAAGGCAGGCAGGAGGTCCCCCCTCTGCAGGCAAGGCCTGGAGCAGGAGTTGGGTGCGCCGAGGGCCACCTGCCCTCCCGGATCACCATCTGCTTCACTAGGGAAACAGAAGTCTTAATTATCAGCAGCTCATCAGCTTCTGAGCTCTAATTAAATCCTCCGGGGCCCCAGGGTGGTGGTGGTGGTGGTAGTGGTAGTGGTGTGTGAGCCATTCCCGGGGAGCCCAGGGGTTTTGGGGCGCACATGCTTCAGCCTTGGCCCCTCACCTGACTGAGCAGTTTGCCCCAGGGGCTGACCACACGTGGAGCCTGACTCCCTGCCTTCATGAGCTAACCTCGCTGCCTCCTGACTTGGTGACCTTGACCAGTCACTTCACCCCTCTGTGCCTCAGTTTCCTCCTCTGTGACACAGGTGACAACAGCTCCTGCTCACAGGGTGGTTGTGAGAACAGAAGAATTCCATGAGCCATCTCTGAAAGTCCTCGGGACACAATGGAGCGTGTAACAGACTCGTGTAGGGTTCAGGGGTCAGTGCAGACAGCTCAGCTTCGTTTCTGAGCCGTGTTTTTCCTGCGCAGGTTCAGTACCTATCCGGGCACTGAGGCCCTGTCCCTGTTCAGGGACTGTCCCTGACCATGTGTATGATGACCTCATTCACTTACACCCCAAAGTGGGGTCCCAGAACTCTGGGCCCTACGGTGTGGCGGAACCCCAAAGTGTCCAGGCCTGTTCAGATCCTGGAGTCCCGCAGGGTGGGGCAGCAAAATGAGCAAGAACTCCGGTGTGGGGTCAGTGCCTGAACTTGGACCTCAGGCCAGCGACCTCACTTCTCTGTGCTTTGGTCACCTCTGCCGGGTCACAGCCCCGAGCACAGGCCAAGGCTCTTCACATTGCTACTTCCGCTCTCATTACTGTACCTGGAAGTGGAAGCCACACATGTTCATTAATTTTTTTAAAAAGATAAGCATTTATGGGGGACCCGTGCATCAGGTGCTCAGGAGCCATCGTCCAGCCCTTGACCTTTCTCAGAAGGGCAGCTTTTCTAGGAGACTAATCACAGCCTGCAGGAGGAGGGCAGCTCTGGGCCAGGAGAAGCACCGGCTTATGGAAGAGGAGCAGATGTGCTCATGGTGACAGCTTCCAGACAGGGCATGAGGCTTTCTCAAGGTCACACAGCTTGCGGGGAGGAGGCTCAGGCTTTCCCATCGCCCTCCCAGGGCTCTCCTCACTGTTACAGTGTGCGTCTGTTAGACACAAACTATGCGCTCGGGAAAGGTTACCTCAGGGAGCCTGGTAGACCCACAGATGGTACAGCTGAAGGGTGAAGCATTTCCTAGGAGCTTTAGAGAACTGCATGGGTGAATTTGAGGTTCTCATGAGAGAGAGGGGAGAAAGCCCCAGGCTGAGGTAATGGTAGCAGGGGACAGAAAGTGGTTTAAACCTAAAGAGGTGCTACTAGCTCCTCTGATTGAGCTATCCTGAGGTTTGTGGGCTGTGGGGGGTCCCAAGACCTGTTGATATTCCAGGAGATACTCCAGGAGAGACCTTACCTCTTTTTTTTTTTTTTTTTTTTTTTTTTTTTTGTCTTTTTGAGACAGGGTCTTGCTATGCAGTTCAGGCTAGCCTTGAGCTCACGTTGTAGCCCAGCTGGTCTTGAACTAGCAACGATCCTCCTGCCTCAGCCTCCCTAGTGCTGGGATTACAGGCATGTACCACCACGCCTGGCCTCTTTTTTTGTTTGTTTGCAAAAAAAAAAACCATTTTTAGTCCCAAGAGTAAGGAGTGGCAGTGGTTTGGTGTAGACAATAGCTCTGCCCACTAGCAACCCTGTAGAGAACATCTTTTTCTCATAGTATAGCACTCTGGGAAGCACTCTGATTGACTTGCCTGTCATGTGCCTATTGCTTAGCCAATCATTAGGCCAAGGGATGTGGCCCTGTGCTCCATCTTTCCAGAGGATCCACATCCCTGTGATCCAGGGAAGCAGGTGGGTTTTTGGCAGCACCCCCTCTCCAACCATGGGACGTTTTTCAGGGAAAGGGTCAAGATGTGTTGGGTGGATAAGCTATCACATATCGCACTGAAGCAGAATCCAGCTGGATTTGGATCAAAGATCTCCTCACTCATAATCACCTATGTGTCTTCGGGCCGGGTTTCCTTATCTATAAAATGGGCATAACAATGCTAGGCTGCAGCAAGTCTCTAGTGACTATGAAATAAAGACTGTTTGAGCCAAGCTTGGGAGTGAAGATGCCTGGCCATCCTCACCCCCAGGCTCACCTCACACCTTGGTCCTTCTCTTTCCAGAGGCTGGTACAGTTCTGGTTCGCCACAGGGGGCGCCGGCTTCTGCATCAACCGCAAATTAGCTTTGAAGATGGCTCCGTGGGCCAGGTAATCCTCGACCCCAGGGGTGATGGGAGGGTTGGGAGGGGTGGCAGCTGGTGTGCATGAGGGCTTCTGCCAAGGCCACACGCCACAGGGAAGGGGAAGGCCAACTGTGGGGGCTCTCTGAGGAGGGAGAAGGGCTTTTGGGCTGGGGACGAGCTTCCTGGAAGAGGTGACACTTGAGCTGGGATAGCCCTAGAGAACCCCAGAGAAAGGGCACGTAGGGGTAGTGGAAACCTCAGTGTGGAGGTGGAGGGACCCTGGCATTCTGGAGGGGCAGAGGCCTGGCCTCTCGGTCTTCCCAGGCAGGCTGTTTGTCACAGTATGAGGGGCCGTGAACTTGTACTGAGGGTCTTCTGAGCTGGCCCGGACCTCATCAAGAGCATAGCAACATCTGGGGGGGAAGGTGGGGTTGCCTTGTTTCTATAGCTGAGGAAACCAAGCCGCCGAGAGGTTAAGCGAGTCTGAGGTCACCCGAGTTCAAGGCTTCCCAGTTGCTCGATTGGGCCCCAAGGCCCTGTGCTTTGCCACTGTAGCAGCGAGCGATGCTTTGCCCCAGACGGGGAGGGTCCCACAGCGGGACTCACATGGGGGTGGGCATGTTGTCCTAGGGCGCCACGCTTGTGGCAGGCGTGAACACGTGACCATGGTCTCCCCGTGCCTAGTGCTCCGTCCTCGCTTCTGCTCACCTCTGTGGGACTTTGTGTGAGTTAGAGAGATGCGTTGCCCCCATTCCGAGGGTGTGGCATTAATGGGTGTGTGCAGTCCTGTGCCACCCTTCCCTGGGACACAGCTCCTCCCCTTCCTGGAGCCCACGGACTCCAGCTCATCCTGTGAGACCCCAGTGAAGAGCTGCCGCCTCTGGGCAGCCCGCCACACTCTCCCTATGCCCTCCGCACTGCATCCTTCCTTCCGACTCAGTGCCAGCCCTGTCCCAAGTGACTGCTCTCTGTCTGTGTCCCCAGAGGGGGGCTGCTTGGAGGCCAGTGAGCGCATTTCTCTCTCAGCGGTACACCTTCACCCTGATCTCGGGGCAGTCGATTCTCAAGCGTGACAAAGAATACATGAGTGAGTGAAGGTGTGAAAGAAGCAAGAAAAGAAAGGCTGCATTTATGTAGGTTTCCCTGCACCCCGCCTCCACCACTCCTCCCAACAGTCCGGAGAAGCCGGACTCCTTACCACCCCCATTTCCCAGAACAGGAGACTGAGGCTCCCTGAGGTTTTTGACTTGAACGAGTCACACAGTACGCAGAGGCCGCTGCCTGGGCTGAGGGAAGTGGGGAGCCTGGATGTGGGGGCTGTGCCTGCAGCTGCAGCCCCGCTTTGTCCCCCAGTGGCTCCCGCTTTGTGGACACATCTGCTCTCATCCGGCTGCCTGATGACTGCACCGTGGGCTACATCATCGAGTGCAAGCTGGGGGGGCGCCTGCAGCCCAGCCCCCTCTTCCACTCGCACCTGGAGACCCTGCAGCTGCTGGGCGCTGCCCAGCTCCTGGAGCAGGTGAGCTGGCCCCAGGGCAGGTGGTAAGAGTGTGTGGGGGGAGGTTCCCCCCAAAGAAACAGGAGGGATTTGAAATCAACCTGAAACTTGAGATGATGGGGTGTGGCCATCCCTTATTGATGGGGAAACTGAGGCCCGGGGTGGCAAAGGCCCTGCATCATGGCGCACGCTGTGACACAGCCCTCCCACCTCTAACCTGCAAGGGTTAGCGTCTGCGCGGCTGTGCTTGTCTGATCTGGCCTCCTAGTGCCAGCTGGGAGGGCCTGCACTGAGGGGATGAAGTTGTCTCTGGGCCCCACTGCCCTGCTCCCCGCTCCTGCCCTGCCCCAGGCTCTCTGGACTTCTCTGTCCTCCCTCCCGCTCAGCCTTCCCGCCTGCCGAGCCAGGCTGGCCCTTTCTGACTTCTCCCATCCGGAGCCCCTTCCTGCGTCACAACTTTCCCGGCAGTTGTTTCCTGCTTTTCCTCCTAGCCCCAAGCGTCCCTGGAAGGAATAGGTTCCCGGTCCTCCAGGCAGGGAGTAACTGCTGCCCCTGCGGATCCGGCCTCCAGCCCCACAGGCGATCTCGGTTGCAAGGGCCGCAGTGTGGCCAGATCCTTTGGGTGCAAGTCACAGAAACTCAGCCTGAGCCCGGAAGTGGATCAGTGCGCTAAGCTGAGAAGCCGAGGGCCTGGCTTGGGAGGGCTGGCTGGGTCCAGGCGTTCAGGACCTCTACTGTGTCCTCCGCCACCTGCTGTTCCATGTGCTGGCCTTGATCTTCGACAGACTCACTGCTCTTGCTGGCAGGACGGCAGCTCCAGGTCCACCTCCAGTGGGGAGAGAGCTCCGCCTCCCCTCAGATCTCAGCTCTGGAAGAGGGAATGTTGGTTGGCCAGGTCTAGAACTGGGGTCTGGGGGTGATCGATCCCATTAAGACCGCAGGATCCTTGGCTTCCTAGATCCTCCGATGCTCGATCCTTCATATAAAATGCTGTCAGATTTACACATAACCTACACAAGCCTCCCTACACTTTAAATCATCTCTCAGTTACTTTTTTTTTTTTTCTTTTTTGAGACAGGGTCTCGCTTTGTAGTTCAGGCTGGCCTTGAACTCCCAGTGATCCTCCTGCCTCAGCTTCCCAAGTGCTGGGATTACAGGCATGTACCACCACACCCGGCTCTCAATTACTTACAATACCTAATAGAATATAAATATTACATAAATTGTTGTTCTACTATATTATTTAGGGAATGAGAAGAAAAAAAATCTGTACTTACTCAGTACAGATGTGCTTTTTTAACTATTGGTATCTTTTTGTGCCCTGGGCCTTGTGCATGCTGAGGAAGTGGTCTGCCACTCAACTACATCCCCAGCCCTTTTTAAAATTTTATTTTGAGACAGGGTCTTCTGGTTGTCTAGGGTAGCCTCAAACTTGTGATCTTCCTGCCTGAGCCTCCCCAAGGGTTAAAGGCACGAACCACCGAGCTTGACTTCTAGACTATTTTTGATCCATGGGTAGTTGAGTTTGTGGATGTGGATCTCACATAGTGGGGGTTGACTGTGCAGTGTTAGCCCCACCCTGTGGATGGGGACACTGAGGCCTGGAGAGCCGGACTAACTAGTGTGGGGCAGGGTTTGGAGCCCTGGCTGGGAGGTTCCTAGGCCCCCAGTCTGTGACCATAGGTGCGTCTACCTCTTTGCTGAAGCCGTTGTCCCACACCCGCGTGCGTGGTACAGGAAGCTGCGGGTGGCAGGGATCTGTCGGGGTGCACAGGGAGTGTCCGAACTGCGCTGAGTCCAGGGGGATGCGTGCTGGAAATGGCCCTGTCTGCGAGTCCCCTGGCCCAGGGGTCATCAGCCCCCAGGCAAGCTGAGCTCTTGAGGTGCAAGTGGGTGGGGGCGCAAGTCCCCCTGCAGGATGTAAGGTGCCTTCCAGGGTGGCACCTGAAACCTGTGGCAGAGAGTTGGATGGGGAGGCTTCCCGCGCCCCATGTGTGCCCAGGGCTGGGGAGGAGCCCAGTGGCAGAGCACTGGCCTAGCACACGTGAGACCCTGGGTTCTATCCCCAGCACCAACCAACAAATAACAAAAATACGTCCACCCCGATGCTAGTGCCAGATGCTGCCCCTCGTGGCGTCCTCAGTGGGACATCCCCAACACTTCTTTGCTTCTTTCTGCCCAGGTCACTCTCAGCTATGGTGTCTTTGAGGGAAAACTCAATGTCATTAAGCTGCCAGGTCCCTTCTCCCCGGAAGAAGACCCCTCCAGGTGGGTGCAGGGGCTGAACAGGCGTGAGAGAAGTGGGGGTGTGTGTGTGGAGGGGTGGCGGCTGAGCCCAGGCACCAGAGACGGGTGTTGGGAGAGAGAGGAGCAGGGAGCAGGTGGTGGACTGCATGGAGCAAGGCATCGTGTCACTGTGACTGGCTTGTTGTGTGACCTTAGGCAAGCATCCTGCCCTCTCTGATTTTCAGTCTCCCTATTTGTAACACTCAAAGGCTGGGCCTGGTGGATGTGTAGGCTCTCCCGGCTCTGAGCCTCTGGATTCGTCAGGTACCCTGGAAGACTAAGCAGTCTTCATTAAGCGAAGAGGTCCTCCGTGTGATGGTGGAACTTCATACCCGTGGGGGTGGGCGGGTTATTTAGTAATCTGGGCTCCTTGCTTCTTTGACATCCTTGCTGTTCTGCTTAGCACAGGTACGGGAGGTGGGGGCTGCCACCTTAGCCCGCACAGACTGTGATGTGCAGGTCCTGTGCCCCTGGCTGCCGGCTGTGGCTGTGCTCCGGCTGGGCCGAGGGGGAGGAGTGGGTGCCCGGTGCCCACCCCCAGCCTGGCTCTCAGCCCTCCCGGCACCCTGGCCGAGCATCGGGCTGGCTGTGCCTTGTGAGCCTCCAGCCAGGAGGAGCCCCTCCCTCCTGCAGCGACCGCTCCACCCTGGGCCCCCTGACTGTCCCCAGCCTCCCTCCCGTTGCGCCCCTTGTCAGCAATGCAGGGAGGGCTTGGGAGCTGGGGAGCAAGCAGGGGCTCAGGAAGACAGCAAGCGGGGAGGAGGTGGGGCAAGCCTGGGGCCCACCGAGGGATGAGACCTTTCCAGAGGGAGCCCCGGGCCGCTGGACACAACTGTGTGGGAACGAAGGGGGAACATGGCGCGGCTGAGTAGTGGAAGGTAAGACAGCGCCCCATGCCAACTGGAAAGTGGGGCTGCGGGGACTCTCTCAGCCGGGGTGACATGAAGGACCTGTAGCACCATCTGCAGGACAAGGGACAGCGCATACCAAAAGCAGTGAAAGCTAGAACTACACAGTCAAGAGGTTTAAACATCGGTATTGTGCCGGGCATGATGGTGCACACCTGCCACCCCAGCACTCGGGAGGCTGAGGCAGGAGAATCACTGAAAGTTCAAAACCAGCCTGGGCTAGATAGTGAGTTCAAGGCCAGCCTGAACTACATAGCAAGACCCTGTCTCAAAAAACAAAACAATCAAACAAAATTGATGTTACATCTCCTCTAAGCCTGAAGGATCCATAGTTTCTGCCTCCTGGGGCTGGAGCCGCCGGAGACTCAGTTCCGCGGGGTCAGATGGCCTGGACTCACCTGAGGTCTCTGGCTTTTGAAGTTTCTCAAAACCTGTGATTCTCAGCAGGGGTGATTTTGCCTGCTGGGGACATTTGGTGATTCTGGGGACATTTTGAACTTTACAGTGTGGGGCTGTGCCCTGGCATTTCATGGGTGGCGGCTGGTGACACCGCTTAGCTTCTGCCAAGGCATGGACTGCGTGTCCTTCCCCCACCAACAAAGAACGCTCTGCCCCGAATATTACTAGTGCCTGTTCCAGATCATCTCCGAGACAAGTGACATATGTGGGACACTTCTCTGGGGCCCGTGGGGTGAGGGCAGGGATGAGTGACCATCTTGTCTGTGTCTGGTTTCCCTGCAGGTTTCGCTCCCTGCACTGCCTGCTCTACCCGGACACGCCTTGGTGCCCACAGCTGGCAGCCCGATGAGCTACTGGCAGGGGCGGGCAGTGCTTCTGGCTCAGCCAGTGCCTTCTGGGGCGGAGCTGTGGGCCTTGGCGCGTGCCAGGCTGCCGGGAAGCCCCGGATCAGGATGGCACCTGGCACCAAGCATCGCAGGCCCTCAAGATGGGTGAGGGCCAGAGAGGCCGCAGGGCTGGCTCCTGTCTACAGTGCCCAGCTGGATGAGGACGGGGACACTTGAGCTGGGCTGGCGTATCAGTCCTTCTGCCAGGGCTCAAGCAGCGGACACAGCTCAAGCTGAGATTGCTCTTAGGGCCCCAGGGGAATCATGGCACGGTCCAGGTCTGTGACTGATGATGTCCCATCTCTGGGAGCTCCGTGCTGCCCAGCTCTTGCTAAAAAGCTCAGGCTTTGGAGCCACAGGATACTCTGACCCAGGTGATGGATCAGAATGGATCCCCCCCTAGTTGCGTTGATCCTTTTGCTTTCTTCTCCACTGCCCTGCTGGAAGGAGTGACCATGTGACCCAGCTCTGACCAGCGAGAACTCAGCAAAGCCAATAGCGATGTTTCCGGGTGAGGTTGTGCAGCTGCGTACCCTGTCTTCCTGTTATTAATGTGGGTGTGAAGGCTGGATTTGGGGAAGCCACTTTAGCCCCACGAAGGAAAGGCCAAGACAAATCATCCACAGTGTCCCCGCCAGCATCGAGTTCTGTATGAAATTAAAGCTTTATTTAAGTCCCTCAGAGTCCTGTTGTCTGTTATATGCAACCAAAGTGTTCCTGACCGGGGCAGGGCCTTTGATCTGTCTGTCACGGTGGTGATGGTACCCACTTCCCGTGGTGTGACAAAATGCTCAGCACACAGCCCAGCTTGGGGAGAGGAGGGCTCAGTGTGTGCGTGTGTCATGGCTGTGAGGGTGTGTGTGGACACGTGTGTGTGCACACTGCACACCTCTGTGTAAGGATGCATGTGTGCTGTGTGCACTGGTGGCCATGTTACATCCTGTGTGTGTCCTGGGGTGCTGCTATGCTGCGAGCTGTTCCTCCTGCCCGGTGTCCCCAGGTTGTGGGTTGAGGAGGCCAGAGAATCCGGCCTCAGGGAGGGCAGCCTGGACACTCGGATCTAAGGGGTTCAGCAGATGCTGAACAAATAAAAGCACCTCTAGCATCTGGGTCCCAAAGCGGTTGGATGAATGAATGAAAGTGATTGTGGTGACTTTGAGGCATGGTGGCCCTTCGTAGGGAGCCTTGGGCATGGGCAGTCTCTCCGTCACCGTTGTGCCCAGTGATGCTGGGACCCAGGTCACCGTAGGGCTCGGGCTGGGGAGGAGGGGGAGATCCTGGAGCCAGAGTCCTGGGGCTCCTTTGGTACATGCCCTGGCCCTTGTGGACCACAGTCCTTGTTCGGGTGCATCTGTGTCAGAGGCCTTGTCCCACCGAGCACATAGCTCAGCCCCTTGTTTTCTAAGGAGGAAGCTGAGCCCAGAGAGGGTCAGTTTTGCGCTCAGTGTCACCCAGCAAGTCAGTGTAGAGTCTGGCTGCTTGGGCTTGTCCAGAGCCTGCTGTCTGCCTGGCCAGCCTGACGCTGGGTTCGTGGGATATGAGCAGAGCATAATGAAGGCAGCCCCTGGCCCGCCCCCTGGGGGGACAGAGTGGCACGGCTGGCAGCCACTGGCCTCCTCTCTGTGCGTGTGAGGCTGCTGGCCGGCTGGCCTGTTTTAGAAGCAGCAGCAGCAGATTGCAGGTTTTTCCCAGATCCTGCGGGTCGGGTGGAGGGAGCAGGGCTCAGGCCATCTGCTGTCTGTTGTCCCAGAATACCTGGGATGTGGTGGTGGTGGGGGAGTACTGTCAGCAAGGAGCAGCACTGGGATGGGGGGATGGAGGGAGGGGGTCTGGTTTAATCCTGGTTTGTCTCGAGGGAGTCTCTGGAGCTGTCTGTGCCCTGGGCTGCGGGACCCACCTAAGCCCCAGAGGCAGGGCCAGAAGTGAGGACCAGGCTGGACCACCCTGCCTTGCTGGGCCCCTTAGCCTAACTTTCATTTAGCCCGGGAGCCCCATCTGCCCCTCCCAGATGTGCACAGGTGGGATAAGCAAGGAGTGGGCGGGGCCCCTCCCAGCAACACTGCACTTTCTTCATCCCTGGGACAAAATACCCAATGCCTGCAATTTGAAGGGAAGAGAAGTTTATTTTGGCTCAAGTTTCAGTCCATAGTCAGCTGGCTGCAAGGCAGGATGTGTGGCAGAGGGGTCTGGCGGAGCAGAGCTGCTCACGGCCTGCTGAACCGGAAGCAGAGAATAGTGGGAGGAGCTGGGAGGGGGACAGACCCTTTCAGGCCACGCCCCCAGTGACTGCCTCTCTGACAAGACCCTGCCCCCTAACAGCAAGTCAGCTATCAGCCCACATAACGCAGGCACCTTCCAAAAGCCCTACCTATGACTGCATGACATAAAGGGGACTTTATAAAGGGGGACACCTAGACATAAACCGTATCAGTCCTATGGCGTCTGTTAACACGCACCGTCCCCTACTTCCCGCACACTGGTATTTAGGTCCAGAGGGCAGACCTGACAGAGGACAGACCACTGCAGCAAGCAGAGCTTCTGGGTGGTGCTGGGTCTGTGAGCCCGGCCCCCAGCAGTCGACAGCCAAGACAGACACCACAGCAGGGGGCTGGGGACCTGGGTCTCCACTTTGCCCTGCTGTGGATGCGTGTGTCACTAGTCATGGAACAGTGCTGAGATCACCTCGTGCGAGCTGTTTGTCTGGAACGGGCCCAAGTGCTTGACAAATGTTGGGTCACTTTATCTTCACTTCTTTGAAGGTAATACTCTACGTTTTTCCATTTTACAGATTAGGAAGATGAGGCACAATAGGAGAGAAAGCCCTTGTCCCAGTTCCAGGTCTTCTTGGGACTGGAGCCTTGGTTTGAGGCAGCCTGGCTTGGTGGTGCCCACTTCAGTGACTTTGGAGGTCGGAGAGCCTCGCCAGGCCTGGGCTCCTCCCTCTTGTGCAGCCTGGCCTCATCTGTGAAATGGGCAGGGTGGTTCCTTTGGGGCAGGCCGTGCAGCACCTCGCACCTCCTCAGAGTGCGTGTTCTCGGCTGTAAGAGGGGAGGTGGCAGGGGGTGCCGGCTCTACCTGAGCCTGGCCTCTCATCCCGGCAGCCCCCTCTCTGCTCCTGCAGGCCCATCCCTTGCTGTCTGGCCCGGGACACTATGGCCTCCTTGTTTCCTGCTAGCTTCCCTGGCTGTGCGGCAATTCCCTCCCCTGGAATGCACCCACCCCTTCCTGGCCAGCTGGCTCTGGCCAAGCCGCACCAACCTTCCTCAAAGAGAGCCCGCCTGGGCCACCAGCACACAGCTGGTCGCTGCCTGTCGCCTCCCCCTGCGGTGACTTTCACAGATGGGAGGCACGTTGGCTTACCTGTGGGTGGGTGGCTGTGTGTCTCCACCCAACCGCTGGCTGCATTGCTGGTGTCCTGGGATTCTATGAAAGAAGCTAGGGCCACGGGGGCCAGGTGATGGCATGGGGGTTTTTGATGGAGGAAGCAGTCTGGCAACCCTAAGATCCATGCTCATTCTTTTTTTTTTTCCGATACCAGGAATTGAACTCACGACCTTGAACTTGCCAGGCAGGTGCTGTGCCGCTGAGCTAAATCCCCAGCCCCATGCTCATTCTTAGTAGTATCCCTAAAGGAAAATCTGAGCCTAAGTGCTCCTAATAGGATCCAAGAACCCAGTACCACCCAGGAATTCTGTTTGCTACAATGCAGTAAGTTCCTGCCTTTTTTTTTTTTTTTGTCTTTTTGAGACAGGGTCTCGCTATGCAGTTCAGGCTGGCCTTGAGCTCACTTTGTAACTCAGGCTGGTCTTGAACTTGCAACAATCCTCCTGCCTCAGCCTCCCAAGTGCTGGGATTACAGGCGTGTGCCGCCATGCCTGGCTCTGGCCCCTGACTTTTGAGTCATGAACTTTCACAGGTGTAAGACTCACAGGTGTATTGTATAAGACTTACTTTGTCGGATGATGGACAAATCTGACTTACGAACATTCTCCTGGAATGGAGCTCATTCATAAGTCATTTGTAATTGGTCTGCAGTTAGCTGGATCTAAATAGTGTACCAGTGTCCAGGAACTTGGGGTGCAGTGTGGCACGTTAAATGACATGATGAGGGTTCAATCCACCAAGTCAACTACGAGGACCGTTCCTAGGACTCAGGCCCTGGTTCCTCCCACAAGTAAAGTAACATAGAAGAGGGAGAAAGAGAAAGAGATGTAGGAGACATTGCACCAAGATGCTCTGTCTGGAGCTGGCTTTGATCCTGATTCAAATCAATGGGCCTTAAAATCACGTGTTTGAGGAGGCTGGGGAAATTTGAACAGGCACTGTGTTAGATGATATTGGAGAATTATTCTCTTTCCTAGGAGTAACAATAATATTGAAGTTATTTTGAGAAATGTTCTAATATGTGAGGAGTGCGTTCTGAAATATTTATGGGTGAAATAATACAGTGCCTGGAACTTTCGTTAAAAAGGTGCCTGAGGGGAACATGAAATCCAAATGGCGGAGTGGGGGGAGCTGTGAAGCAGCTGACGGGGACCAGGGAGTTCATTACGCCATCCGCTCCACTTCTGTGTGTTCGAACATTTCCTAATAAAATAATGTTAAATAATAAGTGGATCTGTGGCTGTTTCATTTTGCTGGTGTGGTCTTTCCCTTCCCTCCTCCCTTCCCCCTGCCCCACATTCAGGCCCAGAGAACATCTGTTTTCAGCCAACACAGCTGTCCTGGCTGCATTTCCTCTTCTCCCCACATACCCAGAGAAAGAAGAGGCAACTCTGGCCTGCATCCCGGCGCTGACTGATTCACGTTTGGCCCCTTGCCTGGTCTCCCCCAGACCCACCCTCATTTCTCTTGGTTCCAAACACTTGTCTCAGCTCCTTTCTAACCTGGTAGCACTTTTTTGGGCATGTTCCTCCTTCCCCCAAGTCATCCTCCAATAAGATTATTATTTTTTATTTATTTATTTTTTTTTGAGGCAGGCTCTTGCTATGCAGTTCAGGTTGGCCTTGAGTTCACTTTGTAGCCAAAGCTGGTCTCAAACTCACAGTGATCCTCCTGCCTCAGCCTCCCAAGTGCTGGGATTACAACAAGAGCCACCATGCCAGGCCTCCAAAGAGATTTTATTGGGGCAGGGTGGGGACAGAATCTGTTAGATGCTACCCAGGAGAATCAGATGAAACAGGAGCTCAAATCCCAGTTGAGCTCAGACAAAGTGGCATCTCACATAAGTAAAGATGAATTGCTAGTTTCTGAGGCATTTGTAGGGGGCAGGAATCAGGAGCACCTGATGTAGGAGGTGGTGCTGGATCTCTGGGTCTTACATGAGGAGGTCAAAAGGGACAGAGTGTATCATATCCTGCCTTGAAGGTAGGGTGCAGAGACCCTAAGGAGGGAGGCAAGCACTGGGTATGATTATGGTTACTACCACTGTCTCATGCTTATGGTTTTATTTTTATTTTTTTCTGGTACTGGGAATCAAACTCACGACCTCACACTTGCCAGGCAGGCACTGTGCCACTGAGCTAAATCCCCAGCCCCCTATCTCATGGTTATGGATCTCACCTTTCAGGAGAAAGGAAAGGTAGTTGCCTGGTACTATGTCCGCGGAAGAGAAGGGGTATGCTCCCTCTTTCCCTCGCTCCTCTACTGAATGACTTTGTAACTCTCCTCCAGAGCAGAGACCAACCCAAAGCAGCCCGGTGCCCCACAGTATCTAGCACAAGGCCAGGCACATAGCAGGTGCCGCAGGAGGAGCAGATGGTTACTGAAGTGAGTGCTGAAATGCAGGCCCTACTACCAAGCTGGATGTAAAAAATCACAGGCGCTTAGTGAGAACAGATTCCGGGGCTCAGCAGTAGACTTTCAGAACTCAGGTTTCCAAAGGAGTTTGGGAATTTGTAGTTTTTATTTGGCTTCTCAGGAGGTTTTGAGCTGCTGGTGTGTTAGAGGACAAAGTGAGGGAATATCTAGTTCAGCACCACGGACAGAGCCCACACCTCCATCTCTGAGCCTTCCTGGGACCAGCTGGATCTGGGGCAGAGTCATTGTGTACACGGATGTCCTTCAGAAGTCCAGCCCTGACTGGGGCCAGGTGACACCTGTGGGCTGGGCCCCCATGTTACGCTGCCTTGGCCATATCAAGAGTGACTTTCAGGGAGGCCACTGGTCCTGCTGTGGGGACAGCTGTGTATAATAAATGTCCCCTTGATTTCTTTTATAACTCATAAATGACTCCCACACTGTGTAAGCAGCACAGCACAGAGCCAGAGCTGTTGTGAACAAGTTTATCCCCAAACATGAGCCGCACCGGTAGCCAAGGGCCGAGTAGGTATGCGTGAGCTACAGCTGCCTTTCCAAGGAACCCACAGTTTGTCAAACATGGTTCATTGCTTATTAGAGAGGAGAGCAGCCTTGAAGATAACCGGGTCCTGAGTCAGCAAGCGAGCAAGGGAGAGGCAGCCAGGAGGAGAGAAACAGGGGCAGAGGCTTCCTGAGCTGGAGAACCGGTGTGATGAACTGCGTGGCTGTGTACATGCTGCCAGGCTGTCAGAGCTTTGGTGTCCTACAAGAGGGATGATGATGTCTCTTTCCCAGCTCTCCCACATGACATGCATACAAACATGCCCACTCTGCCCAGGGCCCTAGACCCAGCCTGATGCCATACACTCACTTACAGACTCCACATTTGCAGATGGTCTCTTATGTGATAGGCATGGTACCAGGCACTGTGTGCCTGGTGGATGAGAGCTGGCACCTATGATCTTATTCTGGGGAGTAAGGGAGACATGGCTCTTCCTGTCTTCCTCCTGAATTCCCCCCTGTATGTGTTTCCAACCTTCCTGGTAGTGAGGGTGGCCATGTGACTGGCTTCTGTCTATGGATGTCCTCCATTGGCCCACCAGATTCGCTGCCTGAGGTGGGATGTCCCTGTCCTCACCTGGGCTTAAGGGTGGAGGATTCAGGTGGGAGGAGTGGAGCCCAGAGACTAGCAGATGGGAGCACCCAGGTGCTGTATCCAGCACAGCTCTCAAATTTCCCTGGAAAAGGATGGTGGAGGATGAAGAAAGGAAGAAAAGAGTCGGAATACAGAAAGCTGAGGTCAGGTGGAGCCTCCTTTCCTGGTAGGAGACAAAGGACCCCCCAAAGACTGAAGCACATTTATTTATACACTTGGGAGGTTGATGCTAATTGAAACTCCTCTGCCTAACAACCTGTTTGTCTGGCTCACCTCAGGTGCCTTGAATTCTCAGAGCTGGAACCATCTGTTCACATGGCTTGCCTTGGGTGCTCCATGTTCTTGGGCTGGCCTTGCTTTTAGCCTTGCACGTGTGATTGATCTCCAGCTTCAGCCACTCCCCACACCAGGGCCCAGAACCATCACAGGATACACAACCTGAACTGTCTTGAGACCAGGAAGGAATCTGGGTTGAGCTGAAGCCTCGGGTTTGGGAGGGTTTGTCACTGCACATAGCTCCCCAGATGAAAGAGACTGATGACAAACAGGTGAGCAAGCAGGAATCTTAGAAAACCACCGAGCAAGGAAGGGAGGAAACAAGGAGAAAGAGGAGAATCCTGTGCAGAAGGTACATGATGGACTTTGTTTTAGATTCTTGTAAGTTTAATTAAGAAATCTACAGCCCCTCAGGGATCCTGGTCTGGAGTTCTCTTGCTCTGGTCATATAATTTCCTGCTCAACTTGAAATGCCATCTCCTGTGACACATAAATCACCCACTTAACTCTTCCACATGCTGGACTTTATTTGAAGGACATCTGACCAGAGCCCTGACCTGGTCTTTGATGTGCTGCTTTGGAAATCTGCCCCTTCAAGCTCTGTGCCCAGCGACATTTCGCCTTCCTGCACACATCCTTGCTTTCTGGGTATCGGGCCCTCCAGATGGAACCACATTCTCCTGTCTTGCTAATCCCAGGACCCCAGCTTCATCCGTCATTTGCTCCACAGCAGCTTTGCACCTTTAGGGACTTGAGGCAGACGGAGAATGAAAAACATTCAACGCACTGATTGGTTGCTAAGCGGCAGATATGTAGCTGGAATCTATTTTATTTAAATGAAACTAAAATAAACTCTAATACATATGTAATACACTTAATGTTCCATTTGTCAATGGCTGCATAACAAATCACCCCAAAACTTAGTGGCTGAAAATGGCAACAGCACATCCGTTCATGGAACTACAGCCTGACACCTCTGCTTGGTGTCATCTGGGGTGGCCCCGGGCTGCCGCTGGGATGGCCTGCAGTCCCTGGCTTGCCCAAGGCCTCGGTGCAGATGACTCCAGTACTCAGGGTTGCAACAACTGAGCTCGTGGTTGTCATTTCCTGTCTCTCCAGGGTGTCAGCGTGGGTAGCTGGACTTGAACGTGTGGGCTCAAGGCACACAACCAAGATGATTAGGGAGAAGCTGTCCACTTCCTCTGGCTTTGCATGGAACGTCAGTAAGCATCACTTTATCAGAAACCAGAAACAAGAGCTGGAGTGTAGCTCAGTGGTCATGTGCTTGTCTAGCATGTGCAAGGCCTGAGTTTAATCTGCAGCACTGTGACAAAACAAAAACCAATAAAAGCCAGGAACCAAACCTGGTCTCTACTTAAGGGGAGGACAGTTAGACTTTCTTTTATTAAGAAAAATTTTTTTAGCCTGGCATGGTGGCACACAACTGTAATCCCAGCACTTGGGAAGCTGAGGCAGGGGGATCACCATGAGTTTAAAGCCAACCTAGGCTACATAGTGACTTCAAAGTTAGCTTCCACTACACAGTGAGACCTTGTCTCAAAACAAAAACAAAAACAAAAAGCAAAAAACAAAACAAGAAAAAAATCTGGGTCTTTTTTTTTTTTTTTGAGACAAAGTTTCCCTATATATTTAAGACTGGTCTTAAACTCACTATGTAGCCCATGCTGGCCTCAGACCTGTGGCAATTCTCCTGCCTCAGCCTCCTGAGTGCTGAGATTACAGGTGGGTGTCACTATGTCCGGTTTAAAATTTTTTTGAGAATTTGAAATTTCTTTTAGGGGTAACTCACTCGGGCCCCCCTTCTGTCCCTCCCTTGGACAGAAGCTTTCTTTTCTTTCCTTCAATAAATATACTCTGCTCTTAACCTCCGTTGTTCCTAAAATTCATTTTTTGATTTTAGAGAACACGAACTTGTCCTGGATATCATTCAGGTTGGGAGGTTTTATTTTCCTGTATCATTTTGGAAGTCCCAATGAGATCCTTGGATGGAGATAAGCTGCTGGGAATCTCTTGGGTCGACAGTTCCTGGATCCCCATTTTGAACAGTGGAAGTGTCCTGGATTACTTTTCAGAAAGAAGTAATCCTTTCTATGACAGAACATGTAATAATGAAGTGGTCAAAATGCAGAGGCTAACGTTGGAACACTTGAATCAGATGGTTGGAGTGGAGTACATCCTTTTACATGCTCAAGAGCCAATTCTTTTCATCATTCGAAAGCAACAGCGGCAGTCTCCTGCTCAAGTTATCCCTCTTGCTGATTACTATATCATTGCTGGGGTGATTTATCAGGCACCGGACTTGGGATCAGTTATAAACTCCAGAGTGCTCACTGCAGTGCATGGCATTCAGTCAGCTTTTGATGAAGCGATGTCTTGCTGTCGATATCATCCCTCCAAAGGATATTGGTGGCACTTCAAAGATCACGAAGAACAAGATAAAGTCAAACCGAAAGCTAAAAGAAAAGAAGAACCAAGCTCTATTTTTCAGAGACAGCATGTGGATGCTTTACTTGTAGACCTTAGGCAGAAATTTCCACCTAAGTTTGTGCAGCAAAAGTCCGGAGAAAAGCCAGTCCCAGTGGATCAGACAAAGAAAGAGGCAGAACCCATACCAGAAGCTGTAAAATCTGAGGAGAAAGAGCCCACAAAGAATGCCCCACAGGCAGTGAACACTAAAGACCCACCCGAGAAAAGGATCCGATTTCAGTGAGCATTGGACGGAGAAAGGCTCCCAAGACTCTGTTTTCAGTTATTACACCTCAGGACTGTTGTCGATTTTTGAGCTTGATAGCCCTTTTCCTCAGCCCTCTCATCTGTACGGGATGTGGTTATTCTTTAAGAAAGGTTATACCCATCATGCTGTGTGAGTATTTCTTATGTATCTTTTGTAATCTTTCTTCTACTGGACTCGAGTTCACGTACACATGTACCTGTGTTACATTTAAAGACAAAAATAAAATATTTGTATATATTCATAAAAAATTTTTTTCTTTTAGTTTTTGCATTATTGGGAATTAAACTCAGAGCCTCATCTGCCAGGCAAGCACACTATCACTGAGCTACATTCCCAACCCAGGCTTCTTCCCTTTTAAAAAATAACAATTAAAAAAAAACTTTGTTAAAATATGTGTACAGTAAATTTGCCATTTTAATACTGTTTAAGTGTAGAACTCACAGCTGCATAATGTCATATCATGTGACTGCCACTAAAACTTTTTCATAGTGTTTAAATGCAATATTTTAACTTATTTTATTTATTTTTGTCTGGTTTCACTACGCGCAGTTCAGGCTGGCCTTGAACTCACTTTATAGTTCAGGCTGGCCTTGAACTTGCAGTGATCTTCCTGCCTCAGCGTTCTGAGTGCTAGGATGATAGGGGTGCACCACCATGCCTGGCTAAATGTAATCTTTCAAAGTTTCATTCAAATTCAGTCATGGCGGTGCACGCCTGCAAACCCAGCACTGAGAAAGCTGAGGCAGGATGATTGCTGTGACTTCGAGGCCACTTTGTGATTTGTGACAAATCACAATTCATCCATATTGTAGCATATATCAGAACTTAATCCTTTTTTGTTGTTGTTGGTACTGGGAATTGAACTCAAGGTCTTCACACTGAGCTACATATATCCAGTCCTTTTTTATTTTTTATTTTGAGACAGGGTCTCGCCAAGGTGCTAAATTTCCCAGGCTGGACTTGAATTTTTGGTTCTATTTTCTCAGCCTCCCAGAGCTCTGGGATTACATTTATGCACCACCAAGAACTTCATTCCTTTTTATGACAGCATGATATTCCATCGCATATATTTTGTTCATCCATTCATCTGGTGACGGACACTCGTGCTGCTTCCATCTTTTGGCTACAGTCAGTAACACTACTGTAAGCGTGGGTATGCAAATATCTGCACAAGTCCTTGCTCTCATTTCTTTAGGGAGTGGACTCAACAGTGGAATTACTGAACCAGATGATAATTCTGTTTCAAGTTTTTAAGGAACTGCTGTACAGTTTTCTAAAGCAGCTACACTGTTTTATGCTCAGCAGAAGTGTTCAAGAGTTCTAATTTAGCTGGGTGCGGTGGTGCATGCCTGTAGGCCCTGCACTCAGGAGGCTGAGGCAGGAGGATCTTTGCGAGTTCGAGGACAGCCTGGGCTACATAAGTGAATTCAAAACCAGTCTGAACTGCAGAGCAAGGCCATGTCTCAAAAAGACCAAAAAAAAAAAAAAAAAAAAA